CAATAAAAAAATTCTTGTTAACATTAATTTTGTTAAAAATAAACAAAATAAATAGATAAATAATAAAATAAATTTATCACACTAAATTAAATGTTTTTCTGATTTGTTATAAGAAATTATCACATATTATCATTTCTTATTAATAATAAAAAAAATATTGACTATATTTTTTTTTCATTTATTGCTTTTTGACATTACAATTATGTCTTATTTGACACGACGCCACTAGATTAAATTAACTTTTGTTATTTTTTTTTAACTTTAATAAAAATTAAAATTTGTAGTAAAAGTGAAACATATTGCACATGTCTGTACCAAGAAAACTAGGACCTTAAAATTAGAAAATTCAATATAGCCCAAAATATACTACCGTGAGATTAAATTTTTTTTCATTCTTTTGAAATAATTCTGTCAATGTTTGACTCACTAACATAACAGCGTCGATGACATAACTTACGACAATTATTTTAAAATCCATGACCACCTTTGACCAAGAAAATTTTTCATCTCAGGTATAAAATTTAGAAAAATTCTAAAATTGTCAGTTTATACTACATTAAAATCCATTTAATTACTTTCTTTTAATTTTTGAAATCGAGTCAAAAGTAAATATTCTACAACACCTGCTGTTTTTTTAAACACCCTGTATAATGTCAGTCGGAACGTTTCAAAATATCAGACTACAAAAGACAGGTACCAACTTATGATAATAAAAAAAATGTCTCTTAAGACATTTTAAAACATAATCCTGTAAAAGCTAATTGGGAAGACTCAGAAAGCGACAGAAATACCGGCTTGTAGACTTGTAAAAAATAAAAACTTCTTAGAGAAATGCTCAAATATATTTGTTTACCTAGATTTTTTTAAATTTTAGGCTTTAAAAGTCAGTTAAACAGACTAAAGAGGTGTTTAGAAATAACGGTTTAAGAAATCTCCTGTTGATTCTGTATTTTTTTTTATTCAAAGATTATCTTTCTAGACAGTTAAAATATTTCAAGGTTTTATTTTATGTTTGTGAATTTTATGAGTAAACTTTATTTTTATAATAAAAAAATAAAATAAATAAAAAAAATATTTGAACAACGATTAATAATTTTGGTGATGGTAATCACAGGTTTGATTTCCAATTGTAGCCTTTTTTCCGAAGATAATGGCTTTGTCCTGGGGCGCCGTTTGAGAAGCCGCCCCTGCTCTTGGCCCATAAAATCATTAGTATACATTTTGATTTACGACCTACATATTTAGTATTGTAATTTATTTGAAGTGGGGGTTTAGGAAAGGGTGCACAATGGGGTGCAACGGTTCCCGCAAAGTGCCAGTTAATAATGGTTGCGTGCATGTCTGGCTCCTGAATTGTATATACAAGATGTTCACATTGCGGTTTCACTGTAATTAACTGCAGGAGAAACTACAATAGAACCTACACGAATTATACTGAACGTTTCTAGTAGTGATTTCAATAATTGGATGACGTTTCGCTTCAATACATCGACGATTTTCATCCAATGCATTATTGATTGAAGGAAGTTTAGGTTTACGATAAGTCGGGACCGATCATCAACTTATGGGAAAATCACCAGGTAGATGGCTAAAACTATACCACGATTTCAAATTGAATTGCACTGATTCAACTTTCATAATAAATAAGTATCAACTAATTAAAATTGATTGATTGCTTTGTACTTTGATTTCTGACTGATTATTACAAATAGACAACAAGTAATTAGACGGAAAGTGCAAGGTGTAATAATATGTATTTGATTGTGGAATTGTCCAATCAGACTTCCGGCTCAATTTCATTAATTAATATTAATTAAATTATTTACAGTTGTTTTGGATTTTTTTAAAAATTGGCGAATTGTATGATACGGCCTGTATATTGCAGATAAACGTTCAATAAATTATTCATATAAATGTTCCTCCGTACCGGTTCTAAATTCGCACATACATCCATGTTAGTCTCTAGCAATTACATGTAAATTATCCGTAGAAATACAACTTGCAACACGCTTTTGTGATATTAAGAAATGTTACGTATTTCACCATCATTAAAAAACATTTAACATTTTTATTTGTGTTGATTACACGAATACATGAATGAAATTATCATTATTTAGCTAGATTTTCTACATTTCTCGAATACCAAACTTTACTACACTATTAACAGATAAAATTACACGATTCTGTACCCCGACATCAAAACGACCCATTTGTAATAAATAATTAATTTCGCATTCGAAAGATATTAGCAGAGATAATTCCACTTTTTTCCTTTATAGGATTGAAAAAATTAATACATTCTAAGAATTACGGATTCTACAGGTTGTATCAGGTTTACCGCTAGACCAAAAATGACAATTTTGGCCATATACTCGCACTCAAAAATTATTTTTTTCTCTAATTTTGTATTTTTTCTACTAGTTGTTAGCTATTTCTTTCTCTTGTATCCGTTGGTAGTTTCATTCTTTTTAGTCCAAACTACAAAGTCAAGACAAAATGCAGATGTTGTGTCTTTTTTGATATTTGTTTTTTTTGTTTGTTACGAAATATTTTTGTTTTTTTCTGGTATATTCATTTCTAGTATAATTTTCTTTTTTTCTCTTTCTTTTTGATTTTTGCATTTTTTATTCTGTTATTGCTTATTATTTTACATTGTTTTACGGATGCATTTATTGCTTCTGCATTATCTTTTCTTTTACTCTTTTTGGTTCTCTGATTTTTGCTGTTTATTCCATTTTTTTGTCTTGTCACTTTGCCACTATTTTTTTCTCTCAATCACATATTTCTAGTTATCTTCATTGTACTTTAAAAGCTTTATATCGCAAATGGCGTGGAAGTAATACCTGCTTGTTTAACTCTATAATTGTTGTTTTTATCTCTTTTCATCTCTGAACATACATACAGGCTGTCTCAGAACTCGGGTCCAAGAGAAAAATTGCAAGTAAGATAAAATACCAGGAACATAAAAAAATTTTATCTGGCAAAAAATTTTGACATTTATTTTTTGACATTTGATACTTTTTTATGCCTATTTAATGATACTGATGGTTTTGTATATATTTTTTTATAATTATTCAGGAAAGGTACAAAATTTTTGCCAATAAAAGCTACAAATAAGATTAAACAGTTATAATTTAGGATACAGCTTTTTGTTTCCTACAGGCTATTTGAATAGTCTGTACCAAAAAAACTAGGCATTTTTCTCTGGGGCGCGAGTTCTGGCGCATACTGTATATCTATTTCTATCTATCTCTGTATCTTTATTAAACTTAATTTTTTTTTTATAATTGTCAGTCACAACAAAATAAACCTTGACTTTTAAGATGGTCAAAAATTATATTTCTTATGTCAAATGACTGTAATTTATGCTTGATGTACATGTACATACCTACAGGTAGCGGTCATTACAATAAATATCTTTTATAAAAAATTGCGCTTTTGTGTATCTTTCTATATAGAAAAGGTTGAAGTCGGAAGTCGCTTTTTTTGTTACCGAAGTTGAAATACTTCAAGAAGTTCAAGTCCTAGGAGTTGAAATGTTTACAGGGGCGGCTCGACCAAGTCAAATATGAGATCATTTCAAGCATTTCACACGACGAAATCACGATTCATTTATTAACATGAATTACACGAATTATTTAACAATTTAATTTTTTCTATTAAAAAAAAATCGAAAAATGCAAAATACCATAATTATTACTCAATATTTAACTAGTGCAATGAGTCGCCCATGTGCATGAATGTCAGAAGATGTCAAAACCAAAAATTGCAAGATGGTCGTTTACCGTTTAACTTTTAAATGTAAAAAAAGTAAACAATGTAAATTGTAATCGCTTTTCACGGTTATAAGATAAATTGTAGAAAATTTTGGTTTAAAGTTTGCACTTTGACTCTATTTATTTCTGCTGGAAAACTAATTTTCCAAGTTTTTTTGCTATAGGCTATTAAAAGAGGAAACAAGGAAGCTGTATCCTAAATTGTAACTTTGTTCAATGTTATTTGTGGCTTTTATTGGCAAAATTTTTGTCCCTTCACTAAATAATTGTAGAAAAACGTATACAAGATCATCAGTATCGTTAAATAGATATAAAAAAATGTCAAATGTCAAAAAATAAATGTCAAACTTTTTTGACAGTTAGAATTTTTTAAACATTTTTTTTTAATGTTCCTGGTATCTTACTTTACTTGAAAATTTTCTCTGGGGCGCGAGTTCTGGCGCACCCTGTATAACGCAGATAGCGGTAGGCAACTCTTTGCAGGATCTAATCCCAATGAAGCCTCGAAAAGTTGTTAATTTTACCTATCGGCATTTTTTGAACGGAGCTGTGCTACATAAAAATTATCAGTTGGCTGTATCTTTATCTCAAAACATTCTCAAAAAAAATCTCCAATTATTGTAAACTATCATTCAGTTATTTTTATTAGTATTGTTGCTGTTCATTTTATTAGGTAGTATTTTTATCTATAGCCATTATACTCATTTTTTATTCAAAAATATTCTTTAATTGTAAATGACAACCAAACAAAACTTGATTCACCCTGTACATACAGGTAGCTATGATTTCTATTATTACAATTATTTATAATTTTGCTTTTATTTTTATATTTATTTTTTTCTGACGTACTGGCCCCCAATATGGGTAGTTGCCATTATTACTACTTCGTTAATTTTTATTATTCATTTTGATTGTATTTTTGCTTTGTTATTCTCTAAAAGTTGTTTTTTGTGAGTAGATTTCTCAAATTGTAAATGAGAGCACACTAAAACTTGACTCACCCTGTAGCCAAGTAGATATAAAAAGTTTTCTGTTTTTTTTTTTTCTAATATTCTTAATAATAACGATGTTTCCAAAGTATTTTTCAAATGGCGAAATATAACTTGAATCACCTTGTAGATACGTACAGACCGATTACAATACTACGTTTTTATTCATTTATTATTTATAATAATTTTTAAAATTTATGATATTTGTTGTATAATTAATTTTTTTTTATTTCAGAACGAAATGGAAACGGCAGACGGCAGTAGGCCTGGAGCTCCTCGCCGAGGCCGGCAACTACGCCGCCTTCCAGCGCTTGTACGGCGCGCCGCCTTACGGCTGCTGGTATCCGCCTCAGACTGCCGGCCCCACCGCCGCCCCCAGCGCGGCGGACATCTACTACCGACAAGCCGCAGCCGCCGCCGCCGCCACGCTCCAAAAACCTCTCCCATACCGTCTCTACCCTCCAGGCATGGGTCTGGGAATCCCCGGTCCCAGTGCCCATCTGGGCTCCCTGGCCGCCAGTAGTTCCTTAAGTACCCTTTCCAGCTACTACTCCAACCAGACCGAGGGCCCGTCTCCCAGATCTCCCAGCCCCGATACGCCCCTGGATCCGGGGTCGCCCGGCTCGGGGGGTCGGAGGACGCCCTCCGAAGACGAGGACACGATCCACGTTTGAGGGCTTCGAGCAAAGACTTTGATATTGTGATATAAAGTGTACTATAGCTGGACTTGTTATTTATTTGCGCTTTTACGTGTTGTGTAGATTGATAGACATATGGACAATTTTTGTAATTAGAGATTTGTCGACGGGCTTTGTGTGGAGTGGTAGATAAGAAGGGATTACGAGGATGGATGTGTATAAATGTTCGGAGTTTATCGGATTGCACTCTTGTTGTAATCGTTTTATTTTTGCTCGATGAGTATCTTTATCCATGTTATTATTAGAAAATACATAGGAAATAAAGGATTTTAAGTTTTTATTACTATTATTTGGTTTGTGTCACATTTTCCAAGACCTCTCTCCCAGATAAGATTCAAAAAGTAGAAAAACAACAGAAAAAATTACTGATTTTCACCCTATAACAATTTATTTAAAGTAATTTATTCTTCGACAATGTCAAAATTTACTGTTATTCTTCTGTGTAAGGAAGTTTTGACAACTGCATTTCCCAATACGAATCGTCAGATTATTTTTAACAGATTTAAAGCAATTTTAAGCTTTGTTGAGTCTAATTCGAAAAATAAAACTCAACTCGTCTTCGTGTAAAGCGGACACTTTATTCCACTTTTAAAAATCTACCCCGTGAAATAAATCGTCCGATTTACACTCAAACTCGTTGAATAAATAACTACGAAAGTAAATTATTTTTGTTACTTCAAATAATAATAGGTACAAATAATTTTTAGTTATTAGAACATTTACGTACTTAAAACAAAATTTTTAACAAGTAAATTTGAAATGTTAATTTAAAAGAATAAAAAGGATAGATGAAACTAGAAAAGTTATTATTCCATAAAACATAGTTCATAACAAAAAATTGCTATGGTTTTCGGATCAATACACATCAATACATCAAAACACACAAATACCGCGGAACACTTGCACGAATGAGTAAGAATATAAATGCTACACGGTCAGCTAAAGCGAGCCATGGGCGCCGCCATATTGGCCTTTACCGCTACTCCGCGGCTGGCTGTAATGCGACATGCGATAGATAGACGAAAAAAGGGTGTGCTCTTTTTGTAATATTGTTTTTAAATGTTTTGTTTTGTTAAATGCTCTAAATTACGTTTCGTTTTTTGTTGTGATGCGGTGTTGCCAAATCATTAAAAAAATTGCAAATGAAATTTCCCATCTTGCATAGTTTTCTAATTCTTGATGATAGGTATTACAAGATATTTAAAAATTATGACTATAATTTAATCGATACATTTGTTCAGGATGATAAAAAAACACCATCATTGAAGTGTTTTCAAAATCATTAGAAGGTAGGTATTGTCAAAATTGCAAAGAAAAATTTTTTACTAACATTTCATAGGTAGGTAGTTACAGCTTTTCAAACATGCAAATTTAATACATATTAATTTTTTATTACTCAAGAGAGTAATTTTGTAATGGGAGTAATTAATATAAATCAAAGTGCCATAAACCTTCATCGTGTTTTTTGAGAAAATTAATTTATTTATTCAAAAAAATTGAATGAAAAGTCTATACCTATTAATAGTAGGTACATAATCAATCATCAATTAGTTTTTTCAAAAAATAAATAGTGTAAGCAATAGACGTCTGGTTCCACACTTTTTCGTCACCCTGTAGGTATATTGAAAAACATGCGACAAAAAATTCTGGTGTAACTTTTTTAAACCACCGTGTAAGCCGTAAGCATAGTAAGAAAAGCTATTGTTTTGAAATTTAAATTAATATACAGGGTGCGCCAGAACTCGCGCCCCAGAGAAAATTTTCGAGTAAGGTAAGATACCAGGAACATGAAAAAAATGTTTAAAAAATTCTTTCTGTCAAAAATTTTTTTTAAAAATATTTAATGATACTAATTATCTTGTATATGTTTTTTTAGAATTATTTAGTAAAGGACCAAAACTTTTGCCAATAAAAGCCACAAATAACATTGAACAGAGTTACAGTTTAGGATACAGCTTTCTTGTTTTCTCTTTTAATAGCCTATAGCAAAAAAACTTGAAAAATTACTTTTCCAACCGAAATAAATAGAGTCAAAGTGCAAAATTTGAGCTCTCATAACTTCGAAATTTTTATAGATAGAATTTTTTTTACATTTTTTCCATGTTCCTTGTATCTTACCTTATATGACATTTTTGTCTGGGGCGCGAGTTCTGGCGCACCCTGTATTTATAATGTGTTTATGGTAATTTTTGCAGAACTATTAAATTAATTAAGTTTCTGATCAAAGTAGCTTATGATTTTAAATTAAGTTGGCAACACTGAAACATGACACATGCCAAGCTTCATATATTCTGTCTTTTTTGTTTTGTTCAGTGTGCCAATTTAATGTTTAAATCACAACAAGTGAAAGAAATTAATTATCACACCTGATTCTTGTATTTTTTTATTCAAAAAAGTGAGTTTGAATGAACTAATTCTACACTTATTTTCAAAAAAAACAATAAACGTTTCAATTGTGGTTTGAATGAATCACCCTGTATGTTTATGTGTCGACATAGGTGTTGCATGACTATCGAAACGTTTAAAAAGTTTATTTTTATTAAAAAAGGCAAAACCTTTTTGAATATTCATCGCAATATTTGATAAATGTGATGTAATTATTATCTTCAAAATTATTACTTCCTTTTGAAACCATAATTAAGCCATTATATTTACAAAAATGTATTTATTAATATTTATTAGTCTGTTGGTTAATTACAATTGCTCAAAAAAGTGCCTAATTTTACACTGATTAAACTTGTTTTAAAAAACTTTTATAATTATCGTACTTAAATCACTCATAGTTTGCATCTGAAAAGTCAAGTTTTTATTTAAGTACCTACTTACTTTTAAAGTTCAAAACTTTTTTAACGAAACATAATTTGATTCAAATCACGTTTTTGAGAATTTATTAAATTGATTATTTATCGATTGAGTTATTCGTGAAGAAATAGCATTGATTCAGTCGCACCAAACACACCAATCCGGAGAAAATTATAATTATTATCCCACTTCAGAAGCCCTTCTGTGTGTAATAAAATTCCAGCTTGTTGTCCCAAAATCGTCGGCACGTTATTTCGTTAAACTCCAATTAACTAGTCCTCGACCACAATAATTTTCTATTATGAATTTATTTTGATTGGATGATATTGTGGCTATAGTTCGGTCACGGTGATTGGGTTTGAGGCGTTGCGTCGGATTCTTGTTAACTGCCTTAACATAATAGAAACAATTTAGAGAGTGTTTGAAAATAGTAGCCGGTCATAGCACATAATGGCCTAAGAGTAGCCAAAGTCATGTGGCTGATGAATTGAACGTGCGTGATGATGAGAGACCAGAACACAAACACTAATTAGTTAATATACAAAAGTAAAGTCGATGCCGCGTGAGAACGCAAACTGACAGCAATTAACGCCAAATTGCAAGTAATCAACTTAGATGCCGCCGAGAATGCATTGTGCGAACAATCAGAACAAATCTCGGCTGTTTATCTTCCTTTATTTCGAGAGATATGGACGAGAATGCATCGCAGAGGCTACCGTAATAACATTTTTCAGTCTTGCACTGATTGCCTTGCTTTCAGAATTTTTTTCGAAAATCAAGTCACCTTCTCAAAGCTTAATTTAAATACATTAAAATATTAAATTCTAATATCAAATATTTGTGATTTTTGTACACTATTACTAAAACATACAGTTTAGAATTAGGTTTTTCTAAAAATCTAGTCAAAATTAGATAATTTAAAATTTTCCTTTCAAAAAAAAGGCGAACAATTGATAGGATAACCTAAAATTTCATTCCAAATTGATCATTTGACTTGCACATAATGACTTTATTACTCTGACCATTATTGGCTCGAGTATAAACTTCATTGTTCTGAATTATAGCTTTCATTATGTGCTGGTTAAATAATATACTATTATAACATTTGTGAGTTCTTTTAATTTCAGACAACAACAATTTGTATTTTTATACAAGAATTCTATTTTTAAACTAATTTTAGTTCGCATTACCTTCCATTTTTGTTTAAAATACAACAAACTACAATAACTAAGCATACCATAATGAATAAAAAGTTTAGAGCCAAACGTTTGCTTAAATTATTTATTTTTTGGAAAAGTACTATAAAAATGCAATGTTTTATCAAAAAATAAAATTTTTCGGAATTTTATTTAGTTTTTACGTTTTATTTTTTTAAATAGCAACCCAGGTTGGGATCTAAAGATTACAATTATCTACCTACTGTATATTTATTTTATGAAAAAATAAAAAATTACAAAAGTTGCAATTATGCTAAATATGATCGCATTTTTTATATTTCTTTAATATATCTTAAGGCAAATGATTTAAAAAAACTTCTATATTTTTTATGTATTCACTCTGTATGTATTTATTTAATCTGAAATGATTATTTGTCTTTTTTACGAGTGGGCGTAAAATAGTATATTAAAAACGCGTTACGAGTTCTCACATATGGCTTCTGACAAGTTTTTTATGTTATTTTTTCTATTTTGTACGTTTTACGTACTTTTTTAACTTAAAAGTCAATTTTTCCAAATTTCGGAACTTTATTTGTTCTAATAAGGTTATGGTTGGTAATAAGAGTCACAAAGTTTGAAAGTTCAATTTTCAAAGTGTCAAGTCTCAAGTATTTTTCAAAATTTTGTTAAATTAACAATTAATACTGCAAATATTTCATGTACACCACCTGAAAAAAGAGAAATCGCTCAATCAAAACGCCGCTGAAAATTACTATTACCAACCTCTAATAAGCAGGGCCGTACCCAAGGGGGGGTTTAGGGGTTTCAAACCCCCCCCCCCCCCCCCGAAATGCTGAGCACTTTGTTATATAGTGTTATAAGTGTTAAAAATTTAGTTTTTTTGTTATT